GACCTCAATACAGAATCTCGTTGATTTCGTATGGAATGGTCGATATGCCACATTTGAATTGGCTTTTCACCTACTATGTCCTTCGTTTGAATAATATTGATCGATGTTTGTTTCATATTCCTTTTACTTTTATCAATTCTTGATTACCGTTCTGATAGGAGCCAGATAAGGCATTTATGGGTGAACTACCGAAAGAGTAGAGCAAAGAAGAAAAACAAAACTAAGCTTCCGTTTTTACTTTCAGTCGTTATTAGTATTTGTCTAGTGCAAAAAGCTAGAATCCTATTCAGTTGAAATGTTGGTTGTATGTCATTTGTTCAAAAATAAAATATGGCCCCATATCGTATATGACATATTTGAGGTGTTGAACGTTGCGAAATCATCGTGGTAAGGAATGTCGGGGAATCAAGAAAAACAGTACTCAATGCGTATTGAAACTCCAAAATCATTCACCAACGCACAAATTCAGAGCTAAAAAAATCGATGAAATCCATGTCATCAAATGCTTCCATGCGAAAATGAACGGCAACAAAGTCGAGGAAGAAAAAAACTCGTGTGTTTTGCTATATTATATTGTCAACACAAAACACTATAGTGTTTATGAACAATGATAATGGATTAGGAATACGAAGAATGTGAATAAAGAGCTTAGGAAAACATATCATCAACATTCGGATTTGGAATTTTTGTTGCGTTTGCAAAATTTATCATATATCGTGATAAACAAGTGATATCACGCATAAATTTGTTAATGTGCGATGCGAAATACGAACTACGCACACACTTATAATCTCGCATTGATTGTATACAGAAAACGAAGTGTGAAATTGTGGGGCGACGTGGATTTCGTGCGGCAAAATTCAGTACTTATTGGTGTGATTGAGCTGTAACACCGTGTAACAAATTTCAACTTTTTCTTCTGCACATGAGAAATTCCGATTGCTTGTTTTAGAGGACCAAAAACCAAGCACTTTTGCATCATTAGTTTGTTCGAAACCACGTCTAGACTTTTTTTTATCGACACATATAAGACAAATTTCAGGCCAAAATGAGCAAATCACAAACATGAGCTTCGGTTTGACAGGTAAAAGCAAATAATTTCTAAATTTTCTGCCTTTCAACATCTAGTATGATCCTTTACAAACATTTTGGATACTTACATGACCAAATCGAGTGATGTTTTCACATATTTCTGGCCGCATATTTGGTTGGTTCGAATTCGACTCTGAAAGAATCGACTTTTGGCCAAAAATCCTTAAGTATAGGCTTTTCAGGGATGGTCTCTTGGCGCAAAGTTATTTTTTCTCGAAAATATGGGAAGTCTACCCAGACAAAAACTCTCAAAATTGACTTTTCGAGGTACCTCCCGAACAAAAGTTACGTTTTTCATGCATTTTGCTATGAAAATAACATTTTTTGTTCGGGAGGTACCCCAAAAATACACTATTTGGATGAGTTTCTTAGTAAAAAATTAATTTTTTCGAGAAATATTGGGAATCTTCCCACACAGAATCTCTTATAAATGATTTTTGGGGTACCTCCCGAACAAAAAATGATATTTTCATAGCAAAATGCATGAAAAACGTAACTTTTGTTCGGGAGGTACCTTGAAAAGCCAATTTTGAGAGATTTGGTCTGGGTAGACTCCCCATATTTTCGAGAAAAAATAACTTTGCGCTAAGATACTATCCCTGAAAAGCCTATATTTAAGGATTTTTGGCCAAAAGTCGATTCTTTCAGAGTTGAATTCGAACCAACCAAATATGCGGCCAGAAATATGTGAAAACATCACTCGATTTGGTCATGTAAGTACCCAAAATGTTTGTAAAGGATCATACTAGTTGTTCAAAGGCAGAAAAGGTAGAAATCATTTGCCTTTACCTGTCAAATCGATGCTTATGTTTGTGATTTGCTCATTTTGACCTGAAATTTGTCTTATATTGTCGATAAAAAAAATCTAGACGTGGTTTCGAACAAACTAATGATGCAAAGGTGCTTGGTTTTTGGTCCTCTAAAACAAGCAATCGGAATTTCTCATGTGCAGAAACATGTGTTGCACGGTGTAAATAGCCGTAAGTGATTTCGACATATTGTGAAATACCACGAAATCACACCAATTAGTACTGAATTTTGCCGTACGAAATCCACGGCGCTCTACAATAGTTCAAAATTTGACAATAAACGGGTGGAACTACGTGCAACATCAACGACTTTGAATGCTAAGCACGTCGGTTTGCCGAAAAAAAAATCAATAAAATCTATATCAAATCGTTTTGAATGACACAACGTAACATTACACATCGGAGTAAATGATATCAACTCCACAACTAATACTCGAACACAAAATCCAATACAACAAACGACTCATTCTTTCAATTGTTTCCTCCTCTTTTCTCTTTCCGTATTCAGTTGGCTCGGGAATTGTTCTTTTGGCATCTTGAAAAACCATATAAGCGCGCGCTGAAATAAATCGGCCAATTTTAGCGTGTCAAACCAAGTAGTGATAAATTTTCTTCGGCTTTCATTATTACAAACAAAATATTTAAATAAGAAGTACATACAAAATATGGAAATATTTACTTTGAACTCAATTTAAATCAACTCGTGATTTCAATAGACGCACCAAGAGTTCCGAACTAATACAAAATAAAATTGCATAAGCTCCATCACATACATGGCTTATCAATCATGATAAGGGCGCTGTTTGTTTGGCTAGTAAAAAAAGAAGCATCAGCAAAGATAGCTATTACTAGAGGTGATTCTGGACCTGTCATGACATTCACTTCGAAGTATTTAATCAACGACGTTTGTCGTCGCAACGTCAACAATTGCGCCAACGAATAGCGATTGTCTGGCCGAAACCATCTCTGACTGTTCACAAATGACAATTGAATAGCGATGATAGTGAAGCAATTGAAATTGAATTTTAGCCTGTTCAAACAAAAACATTATGAATCGATCAAAACAAATTAATGACAATTCTTCATAATATTCCACTCAAAGTGTTTACATTTGTGATAAAAAAAGAGCCGTTTTGCTTATGTTTTCCATTTCCTATGATTATTCCGAGTTCATTTCAATTCGATTCTTATAATTCATTTTGCAATGATTGTTGTTTGTGCGACGATTCACGAGTTTCAAACACGTTATCATGTTTGCTGTGTTTGGGTCAGTCGCTCACTTTGGAATTTTTCCGAACGCAATTTACTCAAACCGATCCGGTTCAATGTAGCACGAGATTTTTCGTATTTAAAATTGAATCTGACGACTAACTATCATGTTAATGAATGCTATGGTTAATTTTAAACAGAATAAAAAACAAATACACATCATTATCAGCCATGCGATAGCTTATGAACTCATTTTTTTCATGTGACACATTGACTTCTTTCAACCTTTTTATTTCTGCATAATCAGTCGGATGCCTCTTTCGAATCGAATCTCGGTTCATTTGAAGTTTTAAGTAACACAAAATATAGGAATCGGTGGTTTCTGTTTTCTTCAATACATAGCTACAATTTTTTCTGTAAAAAATCATAATGAATCATTGATTCGAATGTAGCGCTCCAATTATTAAATTGTTTTGAGGAAATTCATGCTGTCTAAGGGGACACGTGCGTTTTATTGGTAGAATATCAATTCGTCAGCATAGCAACAACCCAACCACAGCCATTCTGATAAATAGCACACACTGTTTTAATATAAAATTCGTCTTTGCGCCAAACGTTATCAGCAACGCTGTCCGAAAGATGTAAACCATTTCTGTATTTATCTTGAAACCGAAGTACATGCTCCGTCACACAAAATGCACGCCCTTTTGATGTTTTCAATGTTTACACTCAAAACATTACGTGAAATCATTGAGCGGGCCATTTTCGATTTGCGCTGTGTTCCAATGTTAAGTGCACTTGAAGTTGGCTAATAATACGTTTGCTTTGGAATTATGGTTCGAACGTCATTCACCAAATCTAGTATCAAATAACTGCCATAAAATAGCGAGATAATTCAGATGAATGATTAGAAAATGCGTAGCTCTCGCAGTCATTAGATGTGTTTTTTCGTATCCATTCAAAATGAAATTTGTGTTGTCAACTATTTTTGTGATCTTTTCAATTTCGCAGGTAATGTAATTCATTTCAATTGTTTCTATATCACTTGAGAAAAAAAGCCGTTGTTTTGTCTAATTCAAACCAATTTCTAGTATTGCACACTACGTTGTATTCATTAATATTATGTTCAGTAATGATTTTTTTTCTTTCTTCTGTAAGATATTGGCGGTCAGTAATGAAGGCACTACTATCGATGTAATTCAGCCTGTAACAGTCGAAACCAGAACAACAACAACAACAACAACGACTACGAAAGAACCGCCATTTGTTGAGGCAAAAGCAAAAGCACAGGCGACACCAAGCGTTAGATTGCCAGCCTCACAAGCTCGTGATCTCTATGAAAATGTAGAAATAGCTGTTGAAGGCCGACCTATTCCTGCTGATTTTATAGCACTTTCCCCACTCGATTGTTCATAAATCAAAAGAAATAGGGAAGTTTCCGCGGATGTTTGCTACCAAATTGCATTATATAAAAACAACCAAGATGATGACGAAATTGCGGCGAACTCGTGAACTATCAAAATTTCAATACAAATTAATACGGCGTTCGTGGCGCCATTAGTACTCAAAATTTAATTTGTACTGAGATTTCGTCAGCTTGAAAACTGTACCAACTTATTGTAAATCCTTACGATACCACCTACCTGTTTCTGCGTTTAGCGTATGAATTTAGGAATCTTTTTTAGTTTGTGGCACGAAATCAAATAAATACATATACTTATGGCTTAGAAATGTGTTTTGCATGCAAATATTTTGTCTACAAAATTCCTACAAAACATTCTTAGTTTCGGGTCATACTAGTACACGTGGAATGTGCATAAACAACAATAACAATCTGCATTTCCCAATTGAAAAAGCGAATGAATCGCCAAGTGCAAAAAATGATAGATTTTTCCGAAACAAACTATATTCTAATGTGATATAAACGTCAAAAGAGAGTGTTCTTCATAAAATCACATTTTGAACGAAACGGAAAAAAAAGAATTTCAAAGGCAAGTCCCAAAAAATAGCAATTTTGCTGAATTTATGCTTGAGAGTAAGAGAAAAATTGTGACAGAGAAAGAAAAACAAAAGGGGAAAATAAGTTGCGCAATGATCATTGATATGGAAGAGGAAACGTCTTTTTTTTTGCATGAAGGACAAAAACATCAATTCATTTTAACTTACTGCCATGTAAAACTGCCCGTGATGCCTTCTTTGAGACGATCGCGTAGAGAACGTTGTCTGCTTGGTCCCGAGCCAATGGGAGGCATTGCGTTCGCACCTTTTGACGATGATGACGATGTGATACTGCTAAAAATGGACAGAGCTGTTGGGCTGCCGGATGACGTGGTGGAATGTGTCGTGGTGGTTTGTTGCTGAACCGCCGACAACAAAACATCATCGTTAGCTGAATCAAATGATGATTCTTCGGGAAAGAATGTATTGATGGCCGTTCCACTGCCACCACTCATATTACAACTCGCGGCCGAACTTCCACCCATTATTTTATTAATTGTGTACTTTTTACGCGATTGATGACTCGGCGATTCGCTAAATGAGCCTTGTTTTGGTGAACAGTCACGTGACGATGACATTTTAGCTTTGCTTATTGATTGATTAGCGTTTATTTCCCAGGAGTATCAACAAAAAATTGATTTTTTTCACGATTGAAGTAGATAGATAAATAGATGGATTTGGTCTCTTGTGGGTGATTCCAGAGGTGGATTCGCTTAAAAACATTTGCTTGATAAAAGTTTGTAGAATGAAGTAAATGATATTCGAAAGTGTTCAGAGATATGTTCACCGCTTGCTTGTTGTTTTATTTGATGGTCAATTGATACGTTTCTGTTTCTTTCTCCTCATGTAAAGTTCCGTCGTAGGATGAAAAGGTAAGTTTAGGTGGATTTTTTAGGAATATAATTGAAATATTTTGGGATGTTTCAAAGCTCTTTTGGTTTAGAAATTGATGTCATCTGAATTGAAATTTGGTCAAACTTTTCTTCGTTTGGTGAAGAGGTTGCTAATGTCTAATTGAATTTGAATAATTGACAACGAACTGCAGTTTGTTTCTTTCTGAGATAAATGAAATATTTACTTCTTTGGCATTTTTATCGTTATGCTGAGTTTTGGAAAAAGAAGAAAACGAAAAAGAAATACAAATACAAATAAAATGAAATGTTTAAAAAGCTTAGATTTTTTTGGAAACTAATGAGGTAAATTAACCAAATTGTAAATTTGCTTTTCATTGCCCCAAGTTTTTTAAATTGTACATTGTTGGTTAAGGAATGAAATAAGTTCAACTACGTTCTAATCAATTTGTTGAAGGGGATTTATAACTCTGGCGGTTTCAAACTATTTTGTAGTTTTGCAAAAGCGAAGTTTAATTAAAAATTGTTTAGCATTTCAACATTCAAATCTAATGAATACAGGTAGGAAGCGCGAGAGCGTATCTATGCTTTCTATTTTTTGTGTTGTGATTTAAAAAAGGAATCGTAAATTTTCCCTCTTTTTTGCTTGCCTGGAATACGAAGTGAGTGCTGAAGATTAGTTATGGTATCTTGTTCAAAATATAAAAAGAATTACATTCGTAATCCCAAAATTTTCCGTACCGTTGTCCGTACTTTTGGTTTTGTTTTTAATATTCTTGAAAAATCGGTCACTTTATTCAAAACTTCGACAATTTTGTATGGGAGGTACCCGTAAATCGACTTCTTTTGGCTTCAAACTTACTGAGGTTTCATTTTTTGGAGAAAAAATAAGATTCTGAAAGTTTTATGTTGGTCGCATTTGCAGAAGTTTGGTTTTTCCAAGAAAATTTCGACAAAAATTGAGGACCAAAGATCAAACTTCTGCAAATGCGATCAACATAAAACTTTCAGAATCTTATTTTTGCTCCAAAAAATGAAACCTCAGAAAGTTTGAATCCAATCGGAATCGATTTACGGGTACCTCCCATACAAAAGTGTCAATTTTTTGAGGTTTTTCTTAGGGCAAGTACCCCAGGATCAAATCGAAAATGGCTCATCTTCGGAATTAAACTAAGTTTATTAGATACAAAACTTCTGGCATTTCCAGATTTTGATTATCTCAATTATTTTTTGAGTTATCGTGTTAACAAACAGCTACGACAACGACAACGAAAACGGCACACGAACGGAAAAGTGTCTCAAAAAGTGGTTTTCTACGCGTTTCATGAGTTTTTATGATGATCTAAACCAATTTTGCGAAAAAAAAAAAGTTTTCGGGACCAATTCCAACACTTTCCCTTGACACGGTGTGTATGGAAAAGTAAAAGGAACGCGAGGTCAAATAAGTAATCTAAGCTGATTAAACTGTTGGATTCATTCGCATTCTATCAGAAACCGGAACGTTAGATATTGTGTTGTCTACTACTTCATTGTTTAATTATTGTTCCATCGGATTCTCCTGGATTTCCAACCACATTTGGCATTGTTTAATAAACCCATGCGATTTTATATGCGAGTGCAGAGATTGCATATTTGCTGCTGAGTAGGCCTGAGCTGAGCTGAATTTGCTAACTCAGGCGCCTGAAGCGGTATTTTAGCGCACTTACGGTGTAAAATTGTTGTGGCTCGCTGGTATCCACCCAATTATAATTGATAAACAGCGTGGATTCCAGCGATTCACAACAATTTTACACCGTAAGTGCGCTAAAATACCGCTTCAGGCGCCTGAGTTAGCAAATTCAGCTCAGCTCAGGCCTACTCAGCAGCAAATATGCAATCTCTGTGCGAGTGTGTAAGTACAAGTTAAACCGTAAAACTTATGCATCTTCAGATAAGAAGATATTACTCTTCCAATGGATTCATAGATCTATGGTTTTCATTGAAATTCGTTATTTCATTCAAAATGAGGGATTTGTTTAACTCTGCATGTATTGTTGTATAATGCAAGACAAAACGGAAAAAATATTGGGTCTGTGAATTAATTCTACCCGTTTTACAATAAATGGCTCCAGTGGTAAGTGCGGGTCAAAAATGTCAGATCAGAAACGTCATACGGCAAGCTTGGGCATTGGTCAACAACTCCTTATCATTACATTTGTGATTTTTTATCGATATCGAAAAGTACTTCCGTAAAAAACCGATCAATTTCTGCCCTATGGAAAAATCTTTTCAGAGGTCGCTTTAGTGCTCCGATTCGTGTTTCATTTTAGTAAACATCATATATCAACAACTACACAGATTTTACGTTGTTCCCCACACAGAGATACACAAACACCAATGCAGTGTCCGCATTCATTATATCTTTCGGCATCTGTCTCTCTCTGTATCATCTATAGTGATGCGTAATACAGAAGATAAACGATAGTGCAATATGATCGATTGTCTCTTTCACACTTCAATGTGCGTGCGTAATACGGTATAATCGACGCTTGAGTGAAGGATGACCAATACGTATTGAAATGAATAGTTTAGTAATTTATTTGTATTGCCATTGCTCACAGTGATGCTCACTGCTCACGGTTGTATGAAAAAAGCAACAAGTCATATTGTAGCATCTAACAATTTTCGTACGACGCACCAACACAAATTATTCAGACAAATGAAACGCAGTATTTCATACAGACACCGTAATGTTTACATGTTTTGAGCGTGTTGCTTTGTGTGTGCGAGTGTAAAGTATTTGAAATCTTATAATTGAGAACCAAAACCTAACGGTATGTTGTTGACCAATATACACTCACAATAGCAGCGATGCAATAGCATTCAGCCACAGTTCACATCGGTCGCAACTGTGAAAAGAGTGGGGATTCGTCTGTATATGTGTTGTATAAAGTCTGATTTGTTGTTATGGACATGCGGCGCCTCTTTTGGGATAATTTTGATACCGAAATCGTTTCGGTGGTTCTTTTACTGTGCGTGTTTATGTCAGTTTTTTAGCCAAATAATCGTCATTTGCGGGAGCTGTTTTTTTTACACAGAAAAAATGTGAAAAAAGATTATTTTTGTATCGTCTTGGCACTGAATATAAAAAATGGACCCTTTTCGATTGACTCAAGTAGAAAAAGCCATATTTCGATAGCGGCTCCTTGTCATTGTAGGGGGAGCAGGAATCGCTCTCTCGAAAATGGCCCGTTTTTCCATATTTGCGGGGGCGGAGAAGATATGGTCCGTTGTTTGTGAAAGTAAAATCGTATCGAAATGTTAGATTTGATCGTTCCCAACAATAACTTATCATTCTATATATAATATATTAATATGGTTTTTAGGGAAAAAAAATTTCAGTGACTTTTCACACTTTGAGACAAAAATTTCTAAGAATAAGTTGATTTTGAATACCTGTTTTGCCCCCGCAGTATTCTTCAGACATTGCGCCTTCTGACTACCACTTGTTTCAGACGATTCAAAATCACCCAAGTGGAGGGAGAACGGTTTACTTTATTATTTTCAAAAAAGTTAAAAAATGGGTTAATTCATTTATGACGTCAGAACTACCGTTATTTTTTCTAATTTGTTTTTCACAAATTGTCCAAGAGATGAGAAAAAGACATAGCTTTCGATGGACACTAGCTTGAATAATGAATATGTAACCATTTTTCCACAATGAACATCCAAAATTTAAAAAAAAAACGGGTAGAATTAATAGCAAAAGTAAATATGAGGTAAAATCAAACATAAAGATTGCGAAAAATTTAATTATATCAGCTGAATCAATTAAATTAGTATAGCAGGGTGACAAACGGAAAAAGACGTAAAATATTACTGTGTAAAGATTTGAAGCAAAAA